TGTGATGTCTCTTTTCGCACTTCCTACAAGTGGCTTTACTCGGACACTCAGAGGCTTTATGATTGCCCGCGGCGCAATTAAAACATAATCGTTTCTTGGCTAGTATCTGTTTACGGGCTGACGTCAGAGTTACTTTTGCGCAATCGTTTGTTTTGTGCTCGCCGCTATCGCAATAAACGCAATTACGTGGATTTAATCTCTGACGAGAGACATGAAACAGCTTGTCTCTTCTTTTGCTGCTAAACGAGTCGTCGTTTAGTTCAGATGGTTTGTCGATTGGATTTCTTCGACACCACTGGTTGAGCGCTTCAACTAGTTTGGTGAAGGTCCATTTCTCCCATTCAGGGTCCGTTCGCACCAAATCTCCACGAATGCTAGGCAGTTTATCAAGAGTCATTGGCACGGCGCCATTGACCCCGTCAAGCTTGTCCAATGTCTCTAAAGCTTGAACGCAGTACGACAATTAGACTTTCGCAAAGTCCCTCGCCTTTAATACGTCCTTATTTATGCGAATGAATTTTTGAAAGTAATATGATATGCGCGGCGCAGCGGGAGAGGAGGCGAGGGACTTTTCAAACTTGCAGCGCGCCATATTTTTCCGACCCAAAAACAGGTCGGTAACACTGATCTGTATACAATATGTGTTCGTATTGTTGATTAACTCTTGAACCAATCAGAGTAACGTGATAAAACAACATGTCAATCAAAGTGCCTATAGTGTGAAATATTAAATTTCATCTCATAAATAAACTGGCCAGCATCCAGAAATCAAATAGACAGGAAATACAATACATATAAATCGATACGACTGTCGTAGTACACACAGAATTAAAAAGAGTTTGACTAATGGTCGCGGGTCGCGTGTCGCGGGTAAAAAGTCGCGGGTCGCGGGTAAAATGTCGCGGGTCGCGGGTAAAAAGTCGCGGGTCGTAAAAGAGCTCTAAACCGTGTATTTTATTGAGTCGCGGGTTGAATAAAGTGTGTAAAAATCACATTAACATATTTTTTATCAATAGTTGTTCGAAGATGTTATGGCTGCAATTGCGAGTTTCTAGATAAATATAGACAAGAACTTGCCTCGTCCCCAGGCGCTAATAAAAAAATTTCATGCGAGTCACTATAAGAAGGTTTACATGAAGTAGTGCATCACATTATAGGCGCGCAAAGGGGAGTGGGATATGAGCGTTCTGGTTAGCGCCTGGCCGATCTTGTATAATAGCTGTTGAACATACAAGTAAACAACAAATCTAAATATAAATCCCTTCATGTATATCACCAGAAAGAAATAAAGCTATCCTTACCTGAATTATTCAAAATATTGTCGATCGTTTGCATCGTGAAAATCAAACATACTGCATGTAAATAAGCTCGTAACTGAAATCCTGAGACGAATCTTGCGCAAATGCAATACAAAATAAATTTTCATCGCTCCCTTGTTTAAAAAACGTCTTGTAGTTGTATATTTTTAAAATAAATTGCTCATTGTGATAAAAATGCACTGTCATTTTTCCATACCTTGTAAATTTATTATATAAACCGGCTTCTATAGCCTCGTTGAACTCTTCAAGTGTTGATATCTCGGAATCATTTAAAGCGTGAAATGATATCAAATATCATCTGACTGTAATCACATGTTTAATTGGACAATTTGAAATGTTGTTTCCTCAAAAAAAATGGCGAAAAAAGCCCCCAAACTGTCGAAACACCACGATTTGCAAGAAACAGACGAATTTTGCAAGAAACGGCACAAGATCTCCCAGGCGCTCCTCAGTTTTCGATGCCTCAAGCCCATAACTCCCTGCGCTTGTTCGTCGTGATGCACTACTTCATGTAAACCTTTCATATAGTGACTCGCATGAAATTTTTTATTAGCGCCTGGGGACGAGGCAGGACAAGAACCATATAACATTATTGTAAAGCACGTTGATAGACGGTAGTGCAAAAGGATCCTGTTACACATTTCTATGTGATAGTCCTGATTTTAGTAATACATATTACCATCCAATTTCTACCATATCAAGCGTAAAAATCCGCTATTCAGTGTCTCAGTGCGCGTTGTCGTCAAGCCTCTGCGCATCGATCAGTACTTTCCAGAAACAAGTGCTAGAGAACAGCGACTTAAATATCCGGGTTGTTGGTGAATCATAATGTACTTTTATAATGTCCCAGCATGGATATATCTATTATTTGTGGTACTATATGGTTGTTTTTAAATTGGTGTAAAACTGATTGTAATAGTAGTGGTAAACTGAATTTATTTCTACCAAAGTCTTGTTTGTTTCTTTACCAGGATTTTTGTTTTACCAGGATTTTTGTCATGGTATAATTGTTGGTTTAACATATTGAAATTATTCTTTCAAGTTTTAGGCTTCTGGCACGTTTATATAATTATAGAACCTTTAAATCATGACAAAAGGCTCTTGGGCAATATTTCGTATTGAAGCAATCCTATATGGTTGTTTACTAAATGATAACGTGAGTTTTTACACACTTTATTCAACCCGCGACTCAATAAAATACACGGTTTGGAGATTTTTTACGACCCGCGACTTTTTACCCGCGACATTTTACCCGCGACATTCTACCCGCGACACGCGACCATTAGTCAAACTCATTAAATCATGACAAACGGCTCTTGGGCAATATTTCGTATTGAAGCAATCCTATATGGTTGTTTACTAAATGATAATGTGATTTTACACACTTTATTCAACCCGCGACTCAATAAAATACACGGTTTGGAGCTTTTTTACGACCCGCGACTTTTTACCCGCGACATTTTACCCGCGACCCGCGACATTCTACCCGCGACACGCGACTTTTTACCCGCGACCAGGGCGTAGTAAAACACGGGCGGTGAAACGCGCTAATATTTGCCTGATCCATGTGTGATGCACGGGAGACTGGCGCGAGCGTGCGAAATGCGCGGATGAAGCGGGATTTTTAAAGATGAAGCGAAGCCAAAACAAGAGACAAAAATATTTAAAGGGCAATCAAAAAGTGCAAATTTTTAAGGTAAATTTATCCTTAAAATGGAAAAAAATTAACTTGTTATAAAATAGAGACTCTGACAATTAATTAGTATTGCAAATTACATCGCTGGAGTTGGAAAAGCATTTTTAAAATGTGAAATTATTTGAAGGCATAGCGATTTTATCATAAAATATATTTACATTTTTCAGGCAATGACAAATTGTAGTCGAGTTTTTTAGCCAGACCGAGTGGAAAAAAAGTTAACTTCAACCCTTTAAATTATCTATAATTAGTTATACTTTCGATCTGAAAAGGTTAGAAAATGGGCTTTTGTGGGCTTTTTTTTCAATTTAAAGATTTATGACCAGGTCACTTGCGTAATTTACAATGACACAACTTGTGACCTTGTTTTGATAAAGTTAGAAAACAATTGTCAATTTAGAAAGCATTGGAAACATTTTCATTAACATATTCAGGCATTCAAATGCAATATAAAAGTTAGGGAAAGTATTCAATTATAAGCAACAAGCAGAAAATTCCGTTTTTACCATGTTAAAGGTTGTTTTATTTCTCTTTTCGAACTTACAATATGCAACTAAAATGTCCGCCAAAAGACTCCAAATTGCATGTTCACAGCGATGTCGCAGTTTTACAAGCGCGGAACTTCTTAACTTTTAAATATTTCATGCACAATATATGAAAACTAGCTTTATTTTGATGTTTTTGGATCATTTAAGTACGTAATTTTCTCAAAATCATCAAATAATAATGGGCTTTTTTAATTTTTAAACATTTTTTTGCCCTTATTTTTGACATGTGCATGCCAAATCTACACAATGCCATAACGAATGCAAGCAAGCGATAGTTTGTTGTCGCAGTTTTACAAGCGCGGAAACTTTTTAACTTTTAAATATTTCATGCACAATATATGAAAATTAGCTTTATTTTGATGTTTTTGGATAATTTAAGTACGTAATTTTCTGAAAATCATCAAATGATAATGGTCTTTTTTAATTTTTAAACATTTTTTGGCTTATTTTTGACATGTGCATGCCAAATCTACACAATGCCATATCGAATGCAAGCAAGCGATGTAGTTTGTTGTCGCAGTTTTACAAGCGCGGAAACTTTTTAACTTTTAAATATTTCATGCACAATATATGAAAACTAGCTTTATTTTGATGTTTTTGGATAATTTAAGTACGTAATTTTCTGCAAATCATCAAATGAGAATGGGCTTTTTTAATTTTTAAACATTTTTTGCCCTTATTTTTGACATGTGCATGCCAAGTCTACACAATGCCATATCGAATGCAAGCAAGCGATGTAGTTTGTTGTCGCAGTTTTACAAGCGCGGAAACTTTTTAACTTTTAAATATTTCATGCACAATATATGAAAACTAGCTTTATTTTGATGTTTTTGGATAATTTAGGTACCCAATTTTCTGAAAATCACCAAATGATAATGGGCTTTTTTAATTTTTAAACATTTTTTTGCCTTTATTTTTGACATGCACATGCCAAAATCTACACAATGCCATATGGAATACAAGCAAGCAATAGTTTGTTGTCGCAGTTTTACAAGCGCGGAAAATTTTTGACCTTTAAATATTTCATGCACAATATATGAAAACTAGCTTCATTTTTATGTTTTTGGATAATTCAAGTACCTAATTTTTTGCCAATCACCAAATGATAATGGCTTTTTTAATTTTTAAACATTTTTTTGCCTTTATTTTTGACATGCACATGCCAAAATCTACACAATGCCATATGGAATACAAGCAAGCGATAGTTTGTTGTCGCAGTTTTACAAGCGCGGAAAATGTTTAACTTTTAAATATTTCATGCACAATATATGAAAAGTAGTTTTATTTTGATGTTTTTGTATAATTTAAGTACCTAATTTTCTGAAAATCATCAAATGAGAATGGGCTTTTTTGTTTAAACATACTTTTTTCCAGCTTGTTTCATAGGGTGTCAGATTTAAAACGCGAAGTGGAAGGCAATGCTATTCCATGTGTAGATTTCGGCATGCACATGTCAAACTGAATAAGGCCAAAAAAATGTTTAAAAATTAAAAAAGCCCATTCTCATTTGGTGATTTTCAGAAAACTAGGTACTTAAATTATACAAAAACATCAAAATAAAACTAGATTTCATATATTGTGCATGAAATATTTAAAAGTTAAAAATTTTCCGCGCTTGTAAAACTGCGACAACAAACTATCGCTTGCTTGTATTTCATGTGTAGATTTGGCATGCACATGTCAGAAACAAGGCCAAAAAAATGCTTAAAAATTAAAAAAGCCCATTCTCATTTGGTGATTTTCAGAAAACTAGGTACTTAAATTATACAAAAACATCAAAATAAAAATAGTTTTCATATATTGTGCATGAAATATTTAAAAGTTAAAAATTTTC